GAATTGCTCTACAACGTGTGGACAGGAGTCTGGAGCTCAGCAGAGGTCAGAGTCAGAAGCCCAGAGAGTGAACACACACAGATAGTGTTTAATATCTGATGTCTTAGAATCCACAGGGTAGAGAGGGGAGTAGAGGTTGGGGACAGGTAGACTGGCCTGATTACTGACAAATAGGGGGTCATAAAAAGAAGTGACACTAGGGGAAGTTTGAATAGAAGGATGTAAGGTTAAAGGGAGGGAGAGACTGGGTGGTTGATGAAAGGCAGATGGTGGTGGTTGGGCAGCTTTAGGGGAAATTTTGTGAGGAATGAGTCAGCTACTGTGCACTCTATGAGGATATGGGGTTGAAATAGGTGCCGTTCTCTTAAAAAGTGGATGATGTTGTAGCTGGCTATTAACTGTTGGTATCCATTCAGCTAAGGTGGCAGGGATGGAAGTGCAGGTGCAGCAGAAAGGTAGGTGTGGTGGGCACAGAGGTCAAACTGCTCAGTATTGGGCCTCCTTCTCAAGCAAATAAGAAGCAAAGATTATCAGCAGGGACAGAGGGAGGGGAGAAGGGCTGTATGCCTGAGAATACAGAAGGTGTGAAATGGTCCTCTCAGTCAGTGTGAAGTGCTTGTTTGAGGCTCCACACTGAGTGAAGACACCCAATTAAAAATTTATCCAGCCCTCGGTTCTGAGGGCCCCGATATAGCTTCTTTTCTTGGCAATGCTTGTTCGAATGTGTCCACCAGATGGCGCTAGGAGGGCATTGCTGAATCTTCATTTATTAGACTTCAATAGCATGTATGTATGTCTGTGTGTGTGTGTGTGTGTAGATGAACATGGGTATAAAATTAACGCTTCTATATTTATATAGGGGGATAGCCATCTCTTTCCCTTTTATTTAACTTCCTCAAACATGACAGGTAAAAGAATATTTCTAAGGAATACAATTCTCAGAGGCCCCCAACATTAGTTGAACTTATTTTATGATAACACTTAAATGTTTATAGATCTAAAAATAGTATACATTCCCTTTTCTAACATATTTAACACGGCCATAGGTTCAAAACAAAATTAGAAATTATATTAAAACAAAACCACAAGTCAAAAATCCAAAACTCTTAACCTTAGCATGATTTAATAAAAGATGAGTTGAGTGTTCGTTGAAAATCAGCAGTGGAGTACAGCGTGGCCGCCATGTGCCGCAGCTGCTGTGTCTGATGTGCCCTTGCCTGCCTATGCCTCAACCAGCCAGGGTATCACAGCCCCTTGGGAAACCCACAGATGCCTCTTCTTGTGCCTGGCATGCATCATTTTCTGAGTGGCTAGCCTGGAGACAGTTAAGGTCAGCGAAAAAACCAAGTATGAAGCAGTAGGTGTATGTAGATGTTTTGGGAAACTTTGGTAAAATGTTTGGTGCCATATTGATGGGAAGTATATTTAATGAAGCAAGTTGGTGTTTTTTGTTTTTGTTTTTGTTTTTGTTTTCTGTTCTGGTTTTTTATTTTGAAACCTAAAAAACACACTTGGATAGCCATTCCCACAGCCTGGCTGGATCCCCTGGTTAGCATGGCCCCAGAGGAGCCCAGGTACCCCCACGTGACCCTCTGTCTCTGCTCCACATGATATTCCCTGGACTGGTCACTCTCATTGGAGGATATCTGTCTTCTTTTGGTCCTGCTTCTTCAGGATTTCTAATGTGAATAAATTAAATAATTGTGAATTATTAAGTTCCTGGCTAATGGGATGGAAATGGAAGTGTGGTGGAGCCCTGCCTGTGTTCAGTGTTTGCTGCCTCAGTAGTCCGCTGTGACCCAGCCTGAAATCCTGGCTCCTCTTCTGCCTGGCTGTACACCTCTGCTCCAGAGGTGGACCCATATACTTAGAATGCACACATTGCTTTCTAGCCTCATCACAGTAAACTGGGCTCATGCAAAGGAGTTTGCAGATGTGCAGCAGAGATAGATGATTCAGTATTTCTAACACAGGCCTCTCCTGTATGTTTGCTCGGCTCCCAGTGCCCACACCCTTTTCGCCATCTTCACTTACCGGAAGCCGAAGCCATGGTGTAGGCGTGTCTTCCTTTGATCAGAAGAAGCTCCAACCTTCTCAGAACCCCTGCCTTCTCTACTGCTTTCCTTCCTCCATTCAAGTAGAGTGGAACTTCCTCTCCAAGCCCTTGGCTTCTATTACACCAGAGCCCTTCCCTTTAGCTCCTTGGCTGTGGGCTGAGCTTCTAAGGGGGATGCTCACTCACTCTGCCCTCATCTGTCTCTCTGTCTGTCTCTTGTCTCTTCATCTGTGACTTTCTGTCATAATCACCCAAATCCCATTTGTCTGGCACCGCTGTTAGGGTGAACTTTCACCGTCGGCCTGTCTTTGCTGTGGCACCCAGTCACAAGTAAATTATCTTGTGTATCCTGAAGATGCTCACACAGCTAGCTATCCTCAGTGGAGGGGTCACACTGCACAGATGTGGTTGTCAGCCTAGCCCCTGAAGCTGTGACACTGAGTCTTATTGATGGCACGCAGGGATCCTCCAGACAGGTGCAGCCCACCTCCCAACCTCTAGACCATTCATATCACTGTTCCAAAACCCTAGCAGATGGTAACTAGATGAGTACAAAGTTCTTTCATCTGAGGGGCATAAACGATGACTAGACTCTGAAGGGGTGTGGCATCACTTTGGTCTGAGCCTGGCTCTCACCAGCTGGCCAGGTCACTTGGTCTTTGTGTCTCTGTGTGGTCAGCACTTACTTACAGGGTCCTTTGAGGATCAAATGTCTCAGTGTGCCCCCAAAGCATAGGGTCTGTGGGCACAAACCAGGCATTTGCAAGTCTCATAAACTGGAGTGAAAGAAGAGCAAGTTCCAAGGGTAGGTCTGTGCACATGAGTGCAGGCATAAACAGCATTTTTAAGGAAAGATTATTTTTGAAAACCCTTAGCTAAGTGGCATTGCTTTGCACTTTTGCAAACCTCTTTGTCTGCTTTAAACGGATAGCGGCTCTTTCTCCGATGTGATTCTGATTCTGTCTCTCTGCCTTGGCTGGAGTATATGAAGAGAGCAGCCATCCTTGCCACTTCAGAGAAGATTCTTGCCTGGTGCAACGTAATGCAAGGGTCCTTTCATAAGGATCTGATAAGACAACATGGAAGGAATTCAAAAAGAAACCCAGACCAAGAACTTAGCAAAAATTTGACCTTGGCAGTACTGACTAATCTCATAGTAGTTGTGAGTCTGGGGTCTAAAAAAAGAGAAGTAGGTCTTCTCCTCCCTTCATGGTCTGCTGGAGTTATTGAGACTGCGCTACAGG